GTGATGTTTAATGCGACAATTGAAATAATTTTGAAAGCGACACTTTGAATGACAAGTGCGACAATTGTGTCAAATAGCCATGGGGTAACTTTCCAGGTCACGTGTGTCAATTGTGGGTGGAATCGTTTGAATATGACAGAAAATAATAGAAAATCCCGTGGAAATTGATGAGATCTCGGTGATTAATATTTTCTCAATAAATATTTCCACATATAATTAATGGACAATGGATTCAATTACTTTGGACCGATGAAATTTGGAGGAGAATTGCGTCTCTCATTTTTTTTCTTTTCGATATATTGAATATCGAATGGGGAAAATGAGATTTAATCGAGGACGTCTACTGTACCAAGTGCACATCATAAATAAATAAAAAAAAAAGTGCTCATTTACTCGGCGGTACGATCCGCTTGATTACTTTATTTTTTTGTACATAATTGTATTCTCGTTTTATTTCTGGCAATGACGAGGAAAATACGAGGAAATCCGGACTATTGATATATTTTTATTTTGTTTATTCAATTTAATCGCAGATTTTATCGGGTCACAATGAAGTGTCAGGAGATACGGGGAATTCTCTGAAATTTTTGCGTTTCGGGTAATGAGGTGTAATTCGTGTCGTAATCAGGTGAAGTATCAGAATCGATTTTAGGATTTTTATTACAATCAGATGTCGATTTTTTTTTTGAAGTTGTCGTATGGGGAACCAGTTGAGACGATCAATTTTCTGGTTGGTGTGCCCCCGTTTTAAAAATATGTATGGAATGAATATATATATGTTTTATGGAAATATAGTCGGGATTATGATTAGTAGAGATTATCAGCGATTTTATAGCGATTTTATATCAAATTATCAACGAATTGATAGAAGAAAATGATTTTATCAAACTCTTCCTCACGTTTTTCGGAAATCTCCACAAAACCATCAAGAATAGTGAAATTTCTGTAATTACCATTCTTGTAGCTCTCAATTCTGGCTACAAAAAAGATTTATATCAAAATTTCGCTATCTCTTTTAAATTCAGAGATAATCCCCGAAAACTTACGTTTCACTCAAATTGCCTTTTTATTCCATTGAGCTTTTTGCTTCGAGTTATCCGGGAATATCTCCGTATCTAAGGGAGATAACAAAATTTTCATAAAGACCTTTTTTGTAGCTTTTAATCATCCCCACAAAAATTATTCTTATAAAAATTTCATTATCTCCCTTCTTTTCCGAGATATTTCCCAAAATTCCCCAGAACTTTCCATCGACAATTCAATTACCATTATTCACCCATAATTATTAAACGCTTAAAAAATTCCGTAGACAACACCAATCACTAAAACTAGTAAAAGTTATTCAAATCTCTTCAAAAAATAATTTATCTTCATCTAAAAAAAATCGAAGACTCATAATTCCCGTCTAATTAATTTTCCTCTATCGACTAAAATTCGCGGACCGCTGTCATAAAAATAATCATTAAATAAGCGAATTGATCTGTCAATAAAAAAAAATCTCTAAAAGTGATTAGATGTCCGTGATAATGTGATTGTGGCTTATGTGGCGCAGATATGTATTTTAAAAAATGAGGCTATTCACCCATTCTCTATCACTCTCGAGAAGAAAAATGTCATTCATTGATAAACCGTTAGATCTCAACCCCTCATTTTTCTTTTCTCTCAATTTTTTTTTTTCTCTCGAATATTCAAAAAGAATTGTTCAAATTTTCTGGTCCTTCGGTTACAGGTTCAAAGAGACTGAGCCGCCAATCGAGCGCGCGTATGTAATCGTCAATTTATTACCTTAGACGTTTTTTTTTTCATCTCCACAAACAATAGAAAATGAATTATCCTCAAAATAATTATTAAAATACGCTTTGACCTCACGTAGCGCAGCTTTATCCGATATTTTATTTAACCGCACGGGGAAATGCCACAGCGTTTAGCCGTATTGTATTTCAAGAGAAAATATTAGCGCTTCATCATGAGTATTTGCTTCAAATGGCGGAATGATATTTTTTTGGCTCTGCACTTAGTCGCTTCATTCATCTTCACCTCTTCTATACTCTTCATTATTTATTGCTGTCTAGAAAGAACGAAATGCACAGAGAAAAAAATAGGGGTGATTCAGTGTCAAATATCATGGGTTAATGATTTGCCTAATGATTTCAAGTGATTGCCGATGATTTCAAATGATTTAGAGGAATTGAATTATAAAATTTTCTGATTTTTTTATTAATTATTAAGAATCCTTGGCATTCTCATAATTAAATAATAATAATAATGATAATTCAATAATGAATTTAATAATAATAATTCAATAATATATTCTCCTGATTAAAAAAAAAAAATGTTTATAAATTTTTTTCATAATTTTTTTTTTAATTTTTTTTTATAGCATTTTTTTTATCAATTTAAAAAAAAAATTTTTTTAATTCAATAAAATGTAAATTTTCCCTGATGTCGGTAAAAAAAAATTTTCCCGAAATTCTCTACATTCGCTGAATTTTCCTGAGAGAACCGGCATTTGATTCAAATTTAGAACACGATCTAGAATTTCCCCTGATTTTTTTTTCTCCGCGCTGAAAATCTATTTTCTCTTCTCATCAATTGATTTCCGTTTGTTGCTCCACTTGTCTACTGCACGTACAAGCGTAAACATACAAAAGCCCTCGCACCAATTTCGCTCTTTCTTTCATGATGAGTTTTCAATATCCACTCGGTCTTTTTACCCCTAGAAATCTCACTCTTGAAAATATCCCACAGCACTGCAGTCACCGACGCATGATAACTCGCACTAATTGCACTATTTTCTCACAATTTATTATTTTTTATCGCTCCCAGAGCTAGAAATTCCTCAATAGTTAATAGAGATCGTTAAAAGGGGATTTCAGGCTTAAGAAGTTGTTATTTTATCATTCCAATCGGAATTTCCATCTTGAGATTTCAAAAAGTGCACAGATTCTCATAAATTCTGAAGAATTACCAAAATTTAGAAAAAAAAAAACATTTTTTCACATTCAAAAACTCCAAAGAGACGCAAAGAGACGCATCATCTGGGGACAAATCTGAAATCGATAAAGAAATTCTCTCGACCAGACGATGCGTCTGTTTTTGTATGCGTCGGCGGCCATTTTGATGTCCAGTGCGATGTCTCCAAAATGGCGGCAGATCTTAAAAAATCGACTCTGCCGTTCTGGAGTTTCTGGCGATGAAAAAATGTAGACACAAGCCGTACAAATATTAGTCATTACCTAGAGAAAATGACGTAGACTGTCACTTCTATTTCATCATCTTTTCGTCGTAATCTCCATGTTTTTTTCGAGTGGTTTTGATCAAAAAGACAAGACGCAATCAACGTGTAATCACGTAATCGATAAAACTATGATAAATTAAACAGAAACTCCGAGCGGAGGATTTCGTAGAATTTTAAGATGGAAATTCATGAAGACTTGAGTCACTGATTCGAGTTTGAATATGACATTTCGAGGAACAATTCGAATAAAAAATCATTTCATTTTCAGGATATTTTCCGATCAATACAGGTAAGTCGCTTAATCCATGTTAAATCATTTGACTGTGATTCATCGTCGTTAAATCCCAGAATAAATAGAATAGGACATTAAATTTTTATACGCGTAATAGTCGGGGTGAAAATAAACTCGATCAAGTAGCCAAAAGCCAATCTATCAAGTGCGTCCGACATTTTCCTCTAATCTACATTTAAACAAAAACATTTCACAAGAAAATTCTGGAATTAATTACATATTTCTGCCAAATTATATTAATTGAATCTACTTTAATGTCTCGTCAATGCATTTATTGATAAATTTGAAAATTCATTTCACCGAAATAATTATTTATTTATTATTTATTTGGATTTATTTTTTACGTTTGTTTAAAGATTTGAAAATTCATTTGGCGGAAATAAATCCTTGAAGATGATTGAGGAAATTCAGGAAATAATTACCCATAAATTTCTGGTGATTATTTCTCTGAATTAGCGATTTGTGATGGAAGAAAGAATGAATAATGAGTTGGGAATAATTTTAATGGAGGAGTGTGAATAATTATCTGATACAAATGGATATTTGGGAGAGATAAATTGTTTAGCGCTGGAAAATTGGAGGTCCGCCAATTTTCTTAGAGAAAAAAAAATGTACGAGGTATAAGTCAATATTGCGGAATTGGGAATAACGTGTTGGTCCGAGAGATACCATCTGTACTTGGAGATCTGACCTGGTGATAGGATTGACCCTGGCACAGGCACAACAAAAGCTGAAGTGGAGGAAAAGAGTTTATAGAAAAAAGCAATTTACAGAAAAATGCATCGAGAATGGTGGAAAAATGCTCGATAACTCCGGAAGAACTCGATGAAAAGCCCCTTATAAAAGTTTTCACATTGAAAGGACAAGTGGAAAAATTCAATAATCATCAGAGAAAAAAAAAAGGCGAGCAGAAGTCAATAAAAAGTGAGAGTGAAATTGTACAAATTGCCAAGTGCACTGGAAATTTCAATCAAGAATTTTTTACCACTTTTCTTTAACGATCCATCGTACGACTCTAGTTTTCCCAAGTACTTAAATAAATTTCATCCATTAAAATAGTGAACAATTAATTTTACAGAACACATTTTTTCTGGCAGGCTTTATTATAATTTTTTATTTCATTTCTTTACTTTTATTTGGAAAAAAGAAACCCGAAACATTCGCAGAATTTCTGAAAATCCCGGGAAGTCCTCAATATTATTATAAATATTCCAAATTTTTTAGTAATTACGAGAAATAATTGACTTTATTTTTCGGAATTCTTCGTCAATTCTTAAAGCTCTAAAATTAAATTAAAAGCAATAATTATAATAAATTAATGAATCCATAAAAAATTTTAATTTGTCCGACCAAATTTGCAGGTCTCTTAATTCATTAATTTTCCTCCTATTATTATTATTATTGACCTTTTAAAAAATCCAATAGTTTACAGCCAGTAAATCAATAAAATCAATCAATGGCCTGTCAAAAGAGTTATTAAAAAAAAAACTACTCAACCCATCCCCGTAAATAAATGAAAAAGAAATTGAAAAAAAAAAAGCAATATCAATTAAAAAAATCCCCATCACCGGAATGCGTGGGTGTGACAAAGACAAAGAAGTAATCGTTTCGATATATACCGATATATACCGATCAATCAATCAAATGTGCCACCCACGTTTTTTGAACTGCCCGGGTCCAGCGGGTGAAGGGGAACGACGACGAAACCGATGAACACCGAAATCCCCCGAATTCCGAGCGGAGATGCACGAGTGTCACGCTGCATTCAATCGCGATGCGCACATTTCCCGCGCAAATCACGACTGCTTCATCCCACACGTACAAGAAAGAAACCCAAGCATTTTCCACTACCTATGTAATACATAGACCAACACAGTTGTACATATAATCGACGAATCCCCACGCGAAAACCAGAGAAGAGACCCCGGCCAGTTCGACATCGTGGTGAACAGATAGTGACGATTTGAAGCTGTTTCATTAACATTTGAAATTTTACTGCATGTCAACCTCTTCACCACCAGTTAAATGCTAATCAATACATCACCTGTGATTTATTCATTGTCAATTACTCGGTATTGCCATGAGTTATATTGATATTATTTCAATTAACAACAAAATTATTGTGGATAATATTCAATGGAAATTGCTGTAAGAAATGATAAAAACTGCGCAGTTTTTCTGGGCCTGTTGTTTATTTCAATGACTTGGATTTTTGGTGAGGAATTCAGTGAGTGGTTTTACTGATCAGAATGCACTTTACGATGATCATAACAAATATTGCAGGTACACTGGGTCACATATTTTTTCAATACACAGGAGTTGTCTTCTGGCTAACGTTAACGATTTTCTATCCTCAAAAGTACATCTAAATATAGAGACACCTGAGAACAAGTTGGGGACAAATGCCGGGCTCATTAGACTCGAGTCATTGTTACGTGACAATTTACCGTGGAGCTGTCAAAGCAGGGAATACGAGATCAGGGGGAAATTTTTAAGACGAGTCTCTGTTCAATGCAACTCATACGATTGATGTCTACGTGGATTCGGCGTGGGCGATGGATTATGATGGAATTATTCAATCATCTGATGGTTAAATCGTTGAATCGTTGAAAAATTACGAGAGTGTGTAAATAGCCTGGGACATGTGACGATTATCTGGAGGTGGGTGAAGGTATTATCTAAGCCTCGAGATCTGAGCTTCGTCTATCGTTTATTTCATTTAAAAAACTCTATCGTCTACATATTCTTGGATTTTATGGGAATTTGGTAATGGATAATTATTGGAGAATGGGAAATAATTCAAAAGTGATGAAAATTTAGCGTTTAGCCCAAAAAGAATAATCCGCTGTGAAGAAAGATTTAATTGGTGGTTGAGAATTATTCCCAAGATGTGATTGTCGTGGATAATTCTACGACTGGACTTCTCCAATCTTCGGACTGCCTGACTCTTTCTTCGGTGAATGATAATTAGAATTTATCATGGAATTTTCGAGATAAAATATCGAATGATATTTTTATGTTCAGAGATTTCTCTGATCTTTGATGGACTTTCTACGAATTAATTTCACGTCGAGGGTTAGATAATACCTTGAGGACATAGGGATGGCTGACAGCAGTGGTGGATTGGATGAGCTGGTGGTGATGAGGACTGGATTGAAGAGGTGCGGTGGTGGTATGAGTTCACCGTCTCTTGCTGGTTGTGATGATCCTGCTGTTGACAGCGTTGGGATCATCGATGGATCCAACTTACCCAGGACCCATTCTATGTCGGCTTTGAGGTCCAAGCACAACAGGAGAGCTGTCTTCTGGGAGCCCCAGTGCTTTGAATCGCCTACTAAAAGGGATTAGTAAGTCTAGAAGCAAAAAAAAAATAGGAAAGTGATTGTTATTCTCATTTTTCCCCTCTTTTAGAGGTTGAAAGACAAACTTTGGCTCTTATTTTGAAAATAATTCCTATCTCAATAATATCTGAATTTTATTTTTAATTTGGAAGAGATTTCTTCTCGAAATAAAAATAAAAAACAAATTTGATATTTGAAAAAATTGGATATACTCTCAAAATGATTTTGCAGAAAATTCAAAAATTCAACAATATCTGCATTCACAAAAAAATTGAATAATTGAATAATTGAATAATTCAACGATTATTTATAATTAATGTTAATTAATTTCAAATTAAAGGAAAAATCTTGAAAAATCATTTCTCAGAGAATAATGAAATGAAGAAAAAATCAAATCAGAGAATATCCTATTCGAATCGTCACGTGCAATGGAAATGAGCAATTGTGCAAAGAGGCTTACTATGAACCAAAATACTATTGTACGTACACGAGACTGAAAAAAAAAGCGCCAATTTCTGTTGATCCACTGGTAATTGGCAATTAATCGGCTACTAATTGGCGGTTGATCGAGTTTATTTGAGGAACACCGAGGGAACGAATTTCACCACGATAGCAAACAAAACAATTGGTGGTTATTGATAAAATAAATAATATAAACTAATGAATGTGGAAATTTAATGGTGAATTACACGACGTTGTGTCGTAGTCACGAGCGTGCATGCGGGTAGAAGTTAAAATAAATTCTGCAGTTAGCTCTCATTTTGTTGGTCTCGAAGAATAAAATTCAATAGAGGTAGAATTGCTATTGCGTTCATTACGCTCTTTACAATGATTAATGAAGTCAGGGGTAAAATTTATTTTTATTCAGTGTGGAATTTCAATCTAGTGAGTAATAATTGAATTTTTTTTTTTTATTTTCAGTCATGGCGAGGACCTCATTGTCACGCCCTTCGCACAAATCCTCGCGTCACTGCGATCAGTCAGAAATAATTTCCTTTCCCTTACAAATGTACCCACGTCCAAGTGAGTATTTCATTTTTTATCCCTCGATATGGGGACTGGCGGGGTTGATCCAGGGGGGTTGGAATGGAGAGTCATTAATGATTTTTCTTCTCGTGAAGATCCCGGAGGAGCAGCGGAGCTCAAGGCGGAAATACACCGCAGCCCCGGGCTATTACTCCTGGAGGTGAGAGAAAAAATTTAAATGTTAAATGGGGTAAAAGAAACCCTAAATCAACCGTATCTTCTGATACCGCGATGCGATTTAGATGAGTCAGGTTTCATTTTGAAGATCGGGAAAAAATCTTGAAGATGAGATGGACATCGTCCAATTTCACTCCACCGTTATCGAGATATTGGGGATCGAAAACTCTTCTCTATGGTTTTAATCGATTGCATCCAGCAGTCAGCCTCCGGTGAATAGCCTGGAATCTAAGGGAGATACCGAAAAATCTCTAGGGAACTTTTTGTAGAGCAGTGTGAGAGCTGAAAAAAAGATTTTTACAAAGTTCTCGGTATTTGCCATGGATTCCGAGATATTCGCCTTTCTTGGGGTGAATTATTGATAAGGGCTGTTTCGAAAGTGTTTTCTCTTCATTTGCAGATGAATCTTACATGAAACTCGCTGTAGAGACAATGGAGGAACTCGACTGGTGCTTGGACCAGTTAGAAACGATTCAGACCCACCGCTCAGTCTCGGATATGGCATCGCTCAAAGTAAGTCATCCTCGTAAAACTGAGAGACTCGAAATAAAGGATTGAAATAACTACTCGTCAAGCTCATGAATGACGTTTGACTCCTCAGTTTGATGCCCTTGAGTCAAGCATTCAGTTGTGAATGTAGGTCACCTGGCCAAGAGTCCATTCGAGCTATCCCATCGTCGTGATGACGTAGTCTTTTTTCTCAGGCCCTCTAAAAATTCTCAACAAAAAAATCGAAATGCCCAGCGCAAGGACATTGATACACGTTTTTATTTTTCATTTCAGAAATATTTGAAGCGTTCCACAAAATTTTAATTAACTCTAATTCATATGGAATTGCGCAATAGATAAGACGAAAAATGGGAATTTGTATTGAATTACGATTTAAAAAATTGAAATATTGATTTTCTCAATTGTGACGAGAAAAATATTTACAAATTCGTAATTGATTTTTTATTGAAAATGAATTCGTACAATGAAAAACTCAAATGACTTTGTTACTAAAATTTTGAGTAACCTTTAACAGTGCACTCGTCATTTCAAATGGTTCGCACGTCTCCAGCATTTAATGCATCTGTGTTGCACGTGCAACAACTGTCTGGGATTAAACAATATAATTGTGATACACAAAAGCAGAAAGACAATTGTCTCGCCAATCATCCAGTGAAACGTACCAAACCCAGAGTTAAAGCCGAGAAGAAATAGAAATAGAAATATTTATCTCCTAAAATGGCTGGAACTTGTAGATTGAGTTTCAATTTAAATATTCACGAATTCCGGATTAACGAGTGGATATTAAATATTAAAAACGTTGAATTGCAGTTCAAGAGGATGCTGAATAAGGAGCTGTCCCACTTCTCAGAGTCTTCCAAGTCTGGCAATCAAATATCTGAGTACATCTGCAGCACTTTCCTCGGTGAGTGGATGATAAGGAGCGATATTAAGGATAATCCACTCGTTCGGAGGGGTTCTTGTTATTTTATGGTGGATTTATGGTATTATTTGGGTTATAGATAAGCAACAGGAACTCGATTTGCCATCGTTGAGAATTGAAGATGCTGTTGCTGCAACCAGTGCTGATACTAGAACATCCAAGAAGAAGGAACGCACACAGCGTGGACCTGCAGCAATGTCGCACATTAGCGGTGTTAAACGTCCATTGACGCACACTAATAGTTTCACTGGTGAACGCGTACCGAATTATGGGGTTGAAACCCCACATGAGGAGCAGTTGGGAAAGGTAAAGACATGATTAAAATTTTATGAGATTTTCCTACCAGAAAAAATAATTTTTTTCCTGTAATTATTGTAATTATTATTCTTATTCTCATTCTGCCTACAATTACTCTACTGTGAGTAATTATTCTAGATGTAATTAAGAACATCTCGACTGCGATGTTCTGTTCATATCTGGGCATTATTTTTTTACGATTATTATATCTTTTTTATTGAAGAGATGATTTTATTCAAATCGGTGAAGAATTAAGACTGTCGATTGTCTTCCGCGGATCACAGGATGGATATCTAAAATGATAAGCAATTTGTGGGAAATTATTTAATTATTATCAGATTCAATGTTGAATTCATACTCTTGAAAAAAAATAATTTTTTCAATTTTTT